CTCTCTCCCCCTTCTCCCTTCGTCACTACCCCGCACCTTCTCTCTCCCCCTTCTCCCTTCGTCACTACCCCGCACCTTCTCTCTCCCCCTTCTCCCTTCGTCACTACCCCGCACCTTCTCTCTCCCCCTCTCCCTTCGTCACTACCCCGCACCTTCTCTCTCCCCCTCTCCCTTCGTCACTACCCCGCACCTTCTCTCTCCCCCTCTCACTCCATCACTACCCCGCACCTTCTCTCTCCCCCTCTCCCTTCGTCACTACTCCGCACCTTGCCTCCCCCTTCTCCCTCCTCCACCATCGACTACACGAAACTTCAATGACCCGTGAAACATGCTCGCCTCGTGTTGGGAGTCGGGACCACACTTACGTGCCGACGCCTAACAGCCGAGAAAATAACGCGCAGAAAACTTCAGGAAGTCTCTCTCTCTCGCACGTAGAGCTGAGCTGATCATAATCCGGCTAGCACACAACCCTGTCAGTGACACCAGCCGAGCTGGCATGGCCGACATGCACCGGTGTGTTTCTCTCCCACCGCCGAATTTCACACATTTTTGCGGCGCATATTCGGGTATACTCAGCCTATACAGCGCGGGCGGCGGTTCAGTCGGGCGTACACATACATATATGCACATGTTTCAGGGGGAATTGAGTATACCTGTGAGAACGTTTGAGAAGAAACGGGTTAGGTATGGATATTTTTTTCTCTCTCATACGTACGGTGGGGGGGGGGGGTTGTCGTGCAGTCGCGTACAACTATGGGGAACACGGAGAAATTTGCCTTGGGAAAATTTTGAGAATTAGCTATACAACAAACCATGTCGGGCAGTCCTAGCAGCGTAGTAGCTATAATAGAAATCCCAACTATGAGAACTATATGCAAGTAGCTATTGGGCTCGTTATGGGCAGGGAAGGGATATGAAAGTTAGCGTTGGATCGAGTTAGCCACGAGAAAATTGGGGGAATGGGAATAGTTAGGACCCGCTTTTTGTAGTTTACCCCTATTTGATACCTATTTTAGGAAATACACGAGATTTATTAGACCATGGCATATATAATACACCCACAGTATAGTGCACCATCACACTGTGCAGCATACCGTAGCAGTGTAGATAGTAATATAGCAAAAATATACGTATAATTATATACGTATTGTGCTTTACACGGTAAAACGATCGGTGGCGAATGTATAATACAATATCAACGACCTACAGGTGTATAATGACAGGAACTCGCGAAATACGGTCGGTCAATTTCATGCTTCAATGTATACACCATGAACTTGCTCTCACTCTCCTTCCCCTCTTTCACCCCCCCCCCACTCACACACGCGCGCGCGCACACACACGCACGCACGCACGCACGCACGCACACACGCACGCACGCACACACACACACACTGTCTCTATCTCTATCTTTCGCTCTTTCTCGACAGAATAGTAAAAAAAATTACATAGCTTATAAAATAAAACGTGTATCCATAATAAATATTTTTGCTGGAATGCATGCAATTTATACACCTCTGTCAGCAATTCAAATTCGTACTGAAATTTCCCCTATATTGATATAAGATAATAATATAAGATATAAGAACAACCGCCACCTATGTGCTACTTTACAATCACCTGTCACAATAGAATTTTTTACTTTCTCCTGGACATTCTAGCATATGAATGAGAAGCGATGGCGGCTAGCTGATAGTTGCAGCAGCATTCCACGTGAATAACAAAGCTCGGATGTGAACAGTCGGCGCACGCACAGAGAGAGAAACGAGAGCGGTTCTTCGTTACATAGGTCTATAGATACGTGGCCCAGAAGGAGAGCGCTGTGTGTGTGTGTGTGTGTGTGTGTGTGTGTGTGTGTGTGTGTGTGTGTGTGTGTGTGTGTGTGTGTGTGTG